TTCCATTAACTGAAAATAAAGACTGATGCCTGTCAACCTGCTACAATGGTTGTTGATTTCAAAAACATAACTCAAATATCTGAAGCACTTTAGCAAACATTTCAAGTAAATTACTAAACAGTGAGAAAAGATTTGAGAAGATTTGACCTTAAAGGGCAGGGCATGAATGGCATGTCATAGACCTCTGGGAAAATGATTTTTAAAATCGGATCACATTGTGAAATAAAATCATAAGTCTGTATTTTAAATCTTTGTAGAAATAAAATATGTCTTCCTGCAGCTAAATTGCTTGCAGGCAGTGATTTATTCAATACAAAGTAGAAGCGGCTCAAAAGTCCACCTGTGTTGAATTTGTTGGACATATTGGATTCCAAGTAAAATAATGTTGTTACTCAAATCTATTTTTGTTAACACTTGCTGCAACCTGCATCTTGTGAAACTTCCTACATTAATGTAAAAATAAACACAGAATTAAACAAATAATTATAGTGACAAATTGCTTAAACCTCCCTAATTTAAGAGATACTGACAAACTTTTAAATACCGTTCAGCAAATTAAGAATAGTCAACTTATGAACGCAGTAGTCAACTTATGAACGCAATAGTCAACTTATGAACGCAATAGTCAACTTATGAACGCAATAGTCAATTTATGAACGCAATAGTCAACTTATGAACGCAATAGTCAACTTATGAACGCAATAGTCAACTTATGAACGCAAGTCTGAAGTGAAAAAACATGCAGTTTCACAGCTAAGCATAAGTAAAATAGCTCATAATACTAATATTTAAACCCCAGTAAATATACCAAATTGTATAATTTTACACACACACGCTCAATGGGTGTCGAATTTCATATTTTTTCATGGAAATGGAGGCATAAGGTTCTTGCGTGCGTGACCAAATGTCAGTCTATTGGCCGCCTTGGATCTAAAGAGAGTCGCATCTCTAGGAATATAAGTATGGTTATGAGAACAAACTTAATTTTTACAAGTGTTAAGAAATTGGCGGCAGGCAAGTCTAACATTTTGCATTTGTGACACTTCTTTCATACTTATTTCATTGATACATTAGTTGTCATGTTACAAGATATTAGACCACCGTGAAAAAGTAATGTGCCTGTGGGAAACTAAAAAAAAACAACTCAACAGCAAAGCAGCAAGAAATTATTCATGCGATACAATTGCTTGAGGAAAGAAATATACAAGACAGCAAGATTGTTTTCCTGTAGGACTGCTTGTCAGTCCCCCAGGAGACTGAAAGAGAAGAGATCTACGAGAGAACATGCAAAGAGAATTGACCTACTTGCTAAATAAACTCTCAGAAAAGAATAACATTGTTCTCAAGTGGGTCCCAGCTCACTATGGCATAGTAGGAAATGAGTTAGCGGACAGACCTACGAAAAATGAAACAACAGAGAAACTCTTTCATTGTCATTACTGGAAATCAGAACACTTATCCATAGAAAATACAAGAAATTGTAGAAAGAACAAACCAACAGTAAACATATAAAAGACTAAACAGAAAACAATATTCAACAGTTTTCCGTCTAAGAACAGGACACTGCAGGCTCAACTACCACATGCATAAACTAAAGTCTGTAGAGTCCCCACAGAGTGTCTGTCAGATGGGACCACAAACACCTAATCACATTCCACAGGCCAGCCGACTATACTTACAACTGCGAAGAGAAACTGGCCTCAAGAACAAAGTGTACAGAGCAAGCTATAGGAAACCATGAGGGACATGTAACTGACATGAAAATTTATAGAAGTAGCCCACTTGGAAATCTGACCTGAGCATACAAAACCAAATACAAAGAAGATTGTTTAACTGTTGATAGACATCAGAAAGAACTTAAAATGATTTAAAATGCCCGAATGTCCCCAAATTACGCTCACATTTTAAAATAATGACTGTTAATAAAGTACCACCAGTTGGTTCTGTAGCCCCAGAAAACCCACTGCAACCCCAATGCGCATGTCATAAGAGTTTACTAATTGGGAGTTTCATTTTAAGTCAGGGTGGATCTACCTGAAAGGCAAGGAACCAATATTCTGTATAAGTCAGATCTGTAAAGTGTATATGCACACAACGCTCAAATTCTAGAAGACGACTAAAGTTCAGAAGTGGATGAGCAACCAGCATTTTCCATTGAAGTTCACAGTTGGCGAACACAAAGAAGAAGCTAGTAAAGTAATTTTATAGCATTGATGGCCAAGCTCTGAGTTTGTCATTTTGTCTTTATTTTGTCATTTCAGAAATATCTGCACATCTACTTTACTTCAACAAAGAGGACCAATTGAGACAAACTTTAAAGCCATTACCATTGAAACAGGTATGCATGATTTATCATTCAACAAATATTACACTTGTTAACATTCTGTGTGTTTTTCGTTGGCACAGGAGCGGAGCAAAGATGGGGTGACCCGTTTGCTATGAAGCTGAAACTAAGACTACCAGACTTTTTAACAGACTGCGGGCTTGCTTCCAGACACTTGACTCCATCATTGAGTTTATCATGTTGCAAATCATATGACATTACTGTTACTCTCAAGCAGACAATCTAATAGTCATAATTTAAACTGTTCCGCTCCTTAGTTTTTATTCCATTCATGGTAGAGAACACTGATTCACTGGTGGATATGTAGATCCCCAAAAATGCCATCTTTCAAGTATTTGCATAGGATTCTTCAGACAGTAATTTCCAGAACTCAGGAATGTTACTGTCAGGTTAATGCTGCAATATAAATGTATTGTTTATTCTTCTACTTTATTTGGGTCACCTTCCGCTAGTTCTGATATTTCCTCCATGCATTCAGTTTTAATTTCCCTAAATGTAAATGCCATAAAAATTATATCTTCTTACAGGAAGAACTTTGTAAACCTTCTGTCAAATTTTGGGCCAACATCATCTAGTTGCACTGCAAAACATGAAAATGTTTTATTCTGTGCCGATCTACTATAAAAGTTTTCTTTAAATGCCCCTGCCTTGGTTAAGTTGTAAAGATGGTCATCCTTTCCTTGAAATTCTAAATCACTTATAACTTCTTTCATTTTTTTTCTCTCAATGCAAGCCAACATTTACTTCAACTAGCTTTTCAGTAGTATCACAAAGAAAAATCATTTTCAGTAGTATCACAAAGAAATATCATTTTCAGTAGTATCACAAAGAAATATCATTTTCAGTAACCCCTGGTGGTCTTCTGAATTAGTAATAATTGTTTAGCTCTAGGTTGTAGCTTATCCTGAAACATGTTTAGCTCTAGGTTGTAGCTTATCCTGAAACATGTTTAGCTCTAGGTTGTAGCTTATCCTGAAACATGTTTAGCCATCCATGATTGTTCACTCTCTTCAGTGATAGTGTTCTAGACAAAAGATAAATCTTCTATAGAAGGGCAGAGAACCACACACAGGATAGCCAATAGTATACTGAACTGTGACCAAGAAGCTTCTTGGGGGGAAAAAAAAGGGGGGGGGGGGGGACTGCACACAGAGGATAGATATTAGTTCACTAAACTATGGCCAAGCAGCTTCATAAATGTGGAGGTGGAGCAAAAATTGGTTGGGGGGAGGGGGTAGAGAACCACACACAGGATAAAGATTAGTCCACTAAACTTTGACAAAGAAGCTTTCTGAAGATGGGGTCAGGGCAGATAACTACACACAGGATAGAGATTAGTCATATCTGTTCTGTCTCTCAGTATTGTCACATCTGTTCTATCTCTCAGTTATGTCTTCCTGTTCTGTCTCTCAGTATTGTCACTCCTGTTCTGTCTCTCAGAATTGTCACGCCTGTTCTACCTCTCAGTATTGTCACGCCTGTCCTGTCTGTCAGTATTGTCACTCCTGCTCTATCTCTCTGTGTTGTCACATCTGTTCTATCTCTCTGTGTTGTCACATCTGTTCTGTCTCTAAGTGTTGTCACATATGTTCTGTCTCTCAGTATTGTCACGCCTGTTCTGTCTGTCAGTATTGTCACGCCTGTTCTGTCTCTCAGTATTGTCACATATGTTCTGTCTCTCAGTATTGTCACGCCTGTTCTGTCTGTCAGTATTGTCACGCCTGTTCTGTCTCTCAGTATTATCACGCCTGTTCTGTCTCTCAGTATTGTCACATCTGTTCTATCTCTCAGTATTGTCACGCCTGTTCTGTCTGTCAGTATTGTCACATCTGTTCTATCTCTCAGTATTGTCACGCCTGTTCTGTCTGTCAGTATTGTCACGCCTGTTCTGTCTGTCAGTATTGTCACGCCTGTTCTGTCTCTCAGTATTGTCACGCCTGTTCTGTCTCTCAGTATTGTCACGCCTGTTCTGTCTGTCAGTGTTGTCACTCCTGCTCTATCTCTCTGTGTTGTCACATCTGTTCTATCTCTCAATGTTGTCACCTCTTTTCTATCTCTCAATGTTGTCACCTTTCTTCTGTCACATCTGTTTTATCTCTCTGTGTTGTCACATCTATTTTATTTCTCAGTACTGTCACATCTGTTCTCTATCTTATTATTGTCATGCATGCTGTGTTCCTCAAATTTGTAATGTCTTTTATAGGTGTGTGAATATTTTTATAGCTGAGTATTTTTCTTTCTTGTACCCTGTTTTCATGAAATAATTTAATCCTTTTTTTTATTTCAGAAAAGCTTACACCCAGTCTGGTATGATGTGAAATGTGTGGATGTACAGTAAAACCACAACCCTTAGCGCTGCTGTCATTCTGAACTGGTTTGATCGAGTTAAGTGTGGGTGTGCAGTAGAACCACAATCCTAAGCGCTGCTGTCATTCTGAATTGATTTGATCGAGTTTAGTGTGGGTGTGCAGTAGAACCACAATCCTAAGCGCTGCTGTCATTCTTAATTGATTTGATCGAGTTTAGTGTGGGTTTACAGGAGAACCACAATCCTTGTTATGTGAAGTGCTATATGTGGATGGGGAGAGGAACTACAGTTGTTGACATTGCTATCATTCTGTGCATTCTGAGCTGATTTGATAAAGTTCAAAGTAACATGGATGAGTCTCAGGGCCATCATTTCGGCCGGACATTGATTGGCAGCTCAGCTTCATTGCCATCAAAAGAAAAGTTTGCCATTGAGAGTTCCATTCATCAGCAAGTTAGAGATGCCAGCCGAGCTTTGGATGTGGCGGCTCATGGGACGAGGTCAAGTGGGGACAGTGAAGAGAGGCAGAGGGTCATTTCACAGACAGGTAACAGTTTGCATGACCCATCATCATCATGTGCCAGCAACTTTTCTACAATCAAAGCTGTTGAGACACCAGAGATGGGACAGTTCTTTAACTACACTAGTGAGAATGATAAGATGAACACTGAGTCCATATATGGCCCCCGGGATCATTCCAAACTGCACATGGATGCTATTTATGTCAGCCAACAGGATTCAAAGATACCACTTGGTAACCTGTATGGAGGCAAAAGTTGTGACGTTGGCAAGGATCACATGAGTGAGGCTGTTGTAGGCCGATCCCTCTATGATCCTGAATTCTTCAAGGGAACTTTTGGCGGCGCAGCTAACAGCTCACTGACGAGCAGAGATATGGGCTTGGAGAAGATTTATCATTGCGAGCTGTGCAACAAAGTCTTCAGCAACAGTTTCTTCCTGCAGCAGCACAAGTTATTCCACACTGGAGAGAAGCAGTTTGTGTGTGGCACATGTGGTCACAAGTGTTTCTACAAGAGTCACTTGAGGGAGCATGAACGCACACATACAGGAGAGAAGCCATACAAATGCCGCGTGTGTGAGGTGGGGTTTGCCCGGAGAGATTCTCTCAAGCGGCATGAAAAATCACACCTGGAGGACAAGCCTCACATGTGTGATGTGTGTGACAAGGCCTTTAAACATAAAACTTACCTTCAGCTCCACCAGCGAATCCACACTGGAGAGCGTTCCTACAAGTGTCACATGTGTGAGAAGAGCTTTGCTCGGGCAGAGAGTCTCAAACGCCACAAAATTTCTCATGTGAAAGAGAAAGCTTACAAATGTCAGATGTGTGAGAAAAGCTTTAAATGTCACACTCACCTTCAGAACCACACACACAACCACACAGGAGAGAAGCAGCACACCTGCCACTTGTGTGAGAAGAAGTTTAAGTATCCGGCTCTACTGCAGAAACATCACCTGATGAAACACTCGGCACAAAGGCCCTTTCCCTGTGACCTGTGTGACAAAGGCTACTTCACTGAAACCGAGCTGAAAGTTCACAAGATGAACCATGCTATCACACCTGCATTCTCTTGTGAATTCTGTGGTAAAGGTTTTCACAGAAGTGAGCAGCTGGACAATCACAGAAGAGTGCACACAGGTGAGAGACCTTTTAAGTGCACATTTTGTAATGATGCATTTGCTCAGCAGGCAGGGTTGCTTAGCCACCAGAGAATTCATGCTGCGGAAAAAATGCTTCTGCAACAAGCAAGTTTACAGGATCATGAGAGAATTCTTGCTGCCGAGAAACAGCAGGCTAGCCTACAGGGTCATGAGAGAATTCTTGCTGCGGAAAAACAACAGGCCAGCCTACAGGGTCATGAGAAAATTCATGCTGCAGAGAAGCTGCTTCTACAGCAGACAGGCCTACAGGGCGGTGAACACATGCAGCCTCAGGAGAAGCCATATGTATGTACAACATGTGGACTCATGTATTCTCAAATGGCGCCATACAATGCTCACATTGCCACTCATACAAAAGACATGCCTTACAAGTGTGAGCCCTGCGGCAGACAGTACCAGCACTATGCTAGTTTTCAGTATCACCAAAACATGTGTTCGTTTTACCACAACTCTCTTAGAAAGGCAAGTACATTAGTCAACCACACAACTACTGACTGAATTACAATGTGCCACAACACTGGCAGATACACACACACACACACACACACAAAAACCAGTCAGTTGTGTACAGCAGCAAAATTGACAGTTACATGCAACAACAAACCTGACAGTTACATACAACCAACCTGACAATAACATACAACAACAAGACTTGACAGTTACATACTTCAATAAACTTGACAGTTACATACAGCAACAAACCTGACAGTTACAGGCAACATCAGACTTGACCGTTACATACAACAAAGTGTCTACATCACTGCTAAGAATACAAGGACTGGGAGTAAAGATAAGCACTCCGGATGTACACGAAGTCTTGTCAACCAACATAGGACTGGCACTTTTAACCGCACAACACTGATGAATATGTTAAGAGGGGAGCACGTTTGGATGTGTCTGGAGTGCTTTGAAGATAATCCAACTCGTAACTCATACAACAACGAAAATGACAGTTACATACAACAGCAGACTAAACAGTTAAATAAAACAATAAACTTGTCAATTACATACAACAGCGAACCTGTCTGTTACATACAACAAAAAGCGTGACAGTAGCATTCAACAACAGATCTGACAATTACATGCAACAGCGAACCTGACAGTTGCTTACAACAACAAGTATGACAGTAGCATTCAACAATAGATCTGACAGTTACATAAAGCGATAAATTTGACATACAATGACAAACGACAGTTACTTACAAATTTGACAGTTCCATACAACAGCAAACTTGACAATTACTTACAGCAATAAACCTGACAGTTACCTACACCAGCAAATGTGACAGATACATACAGTAATAATTTTAACAGGAAAGCAAACAAGAAATTGCAGTATAGATTATGACAGAGGGACAAGCTGCATCACTGAGCTAATTATCTAGCTGAATGAGTTCTGTGATCACCTGTGTGAATGAATAGTCTGATCACCTCTCTTCTGAATGAATCCTCTGATCACCTGTGTGAATGAATCCTGTGATCACCTGTGTGAATGAATCCACTGATCACCTCTCTTCTGAATGAATCCTCTGATCACCTGTGTGAATGAATCCACTGATCACCTCTCTTCTGAATGAATCCTCTGATCACCTGTGTGAATGAATCTTGTGATCACCTGTGTGAATGAATCCACTGATCACCTGTGTGAATGAATCCTGTGATCACCTGTGTGAATGAATCCACTGATCACCTCTCTTCTGAATGAAACCTCTGATCACCTGTATGAATTAATCATCTGATCACCTGATGGAATATATCCTCTGATCACCTGATGGAATATATCCTCTGATCACCTGATGGAATGAATCATCTGATCACCTGATGGAATATATCCTCTGATCACCTGATGGAATGAATCATCTGATCACCTGATGGAATATATCCTCTGATCACCTGATGGAATATATCCTCTGATCACCTGATGGAATATATCCTCTGATCACCTGATGGAATATATCCTCTGATCACCTGATGGAATATATCGTCTGATCACTGTCTGAATGAGTCGCTGAGAAAGCTTGGCTGGTGTAGGAGGATCTGATATTGGCTGTATGCTGTAGGTGTTGTCAAAAGCGAGAGAGGAGACTGATTTTGAGAGAGAGAGAAATGTTTGATTTCATGCACTGTAAATAGAATATTGATTTTTTTTTTCATGTATAAATATTTTACAGTGTTTCATTCTTTTATGTATCATTTGTACATTAAAACTCCTTTTTAATTTTTGATTGAAATAAACTATATCCCCTCCAAAAATGGTCTTGGCAAGTTGCATTTATGTGTGCCCACATTAATACACTTTCAAAATAGAAACATGTAATCTGCATACATGACCTAAATTGTTGAAGTCAGACTGGTGAAACAATCTCTGGCAACACAATCTCTACATGTACACTGGAGGCACAATCTTTGAACTGTTGAAATCAAGCGGGAGACACAGTCAGTCAGGAGATAGAATTGTTGAAGTCAGACTTTAGACACAATCTCTGAAGTCACATTGGAGACACAATCTCTGAAGACAAACAGGAGACATGAATCTTTGAATTGTTGAAGTCAGATTTTAGACAGTCTCTGAGGTCACACTGGAGACAATCTCTGAACTGTTGCAGACTGACTTCAGATGCAATCTCTAAAGTCAGACTTAAGGCACAATCTCTGAATTGTTGAAGACAAAGGAGACACAACCTCTAAATTGTTGAAGTCAGAATGCTGACACAATCTCACATTGTTGAAATCGTTAGCATCATGTGCATTTATCCATGTTTCATTTATATGAACAATATTGTTATTGTGTGTGTGTTTTTCTTTTTTAAACACATTGATATTTCTACCGCTTGTGTGTTTGTGAAATGTAAAGCCAGCACCTCTTACAATTTTCCATAATGTACTTTTGGGTATATCGGTGTCACGATTCTGCCCAAGTTTCATTTTCAACTTCGTACGCGTCATATTTTTGTTTAATCTGCAGACAGTCTGTGTATTGTTCGTTTAATAACTTCTCTGTCAGTTGTCTGTTTCCTTCCTCGCTCAACATTGTTATGAATAGAAAGACTGGACTTTTCTAATGTCTGTCTTGAGGATGTCCGTCGGTTATACCCAGGGCATGTTTTGTTCTTTTCTCTAGGTTTGAAATAAATTACTGATTTCAGAATCGATGTCATAGCAAACCAGGCCTACACATAGATGTTTCGTCTGCCGAAGCAAATGTTTGGAATAAAATATATAACAGTCACAGTGCCTAGCCCCAAATAAGAAATCATTCTATAATTAAGTTTTATATTTTTAGCGTAACGAATTGAAAACTTTTAGCGCCATTCTGTTAACACAGGATCTAATGACATAAGTGATGTCTTTACACGCCGTAACGCTACTTGGAAACGAAGCAGCACGCTTGCAGTCTTTTGCCATTTTTTCTGAATTTCATTACAAATAAGAATTTAATGTGCTACAGATAGTCTGTACAGAAACAGACTATGGTTAGTCAAGATTTGTTTGGCTCAAACACAAGACTGGTTAAGCTGGAACAGACCTTACATAAACTCCACTAACGCTGAAAGTTTGTGGGGCATTTTTAATACATCATAACTCCATGCAGCACGAATAAAGCGTTCATGCTGTGTACAATACCCACCCACGGCCCCACAGTGGTCATCTGTATTAAAACCCGACAAAGACTATTCAAGGTTCTTCCATTCTTCCACAATTCTTCGTTGGTTCATCTCCATCGGTTCTTCAAGGACCTGTGGTTGTGCGATGTGGTGAGGACAATTATGAGATAATAGACTTTTACCAGGTTTTAGGACCGTGATGGTTGGTTCGGGAGGCAGCAGTGTCGGCAAGTAAAGAGAAGCGTGAGTTGGGCACAAGAAGCTATTTGATCCAGTAGCAAGGTAGAAAGAAATATTGAGAGTGTCGCTGTAAGGCCGAAAGAGGGACTGTTTTCCATCGCCCGATTCGGGGGAAACGTCAGGAAGCTTTAAGCAAACTATCACTGATAAAAGGATGCCCTAGAAGAAAAATGCCATGATATGATGTAAGATACGAATGGACCGGACATAGCAGCAACATCGAGGAGCAATGATTTTGGATAGCGCAATGAGTTTGTCCCTGCCATAGTAAGAGCCTAACGGAATGTTCTTTGTCATTACAAGTTGTCAGGTGAAGTGTTGCCGAAAGTTAAAAAGCGTAGGCTGAACTGTCAAAAGGAACTTTGTTTGAAAGTATCTCCATCCTCGCTATCATGGGAACGCCAATCGTCTGTCATCGTTGTCCCGTGAATGCTCAATAATTGTGGGCTAAGACATCACCCCCGACAACGGCTTCCGACTTTGGAGCCAGTGTTCTCGATACTTCCACAGATTCAGAAATTATCAACAGTAACCCCTATCCTCCCTCTCCTTATCCCCCCTTTTGAAAAGGTTTCGAAAAGGTTTATTGTAATCATGGACCGTTTAGGCTTTAATTATATGTAAAGTTATATGCTAGAAGAATTTTATAAAGGTATAATTATATGTACATTATATTGTAATCATGGACCGTTCAGGCTTTTATTATATGTAAAGTTATAGGCTAGAAGAATTTTATAAAGGTATAATTATATGTACATTATTTACATTATATTGTAATCATGGACCGTTCAGGCTTTTATTAGTCGTGGTGTAAAGTTATAGGCTAGAAGAATGTTCTAAAGGTATAATTGTATGTACATTATATTGTGATCATGGACCGTTCAGGCTTTTATTAGTCATGATGTAAAGTTATAGGCTAGAAGAAATTTATAAAGGTATAATTATATTTACAATATATTGTTATCTTGGACCGTTTAGGCTTTTATTATATGTAAAGTTATAGGCTAGAAGAATTTTATAAAGGTATAATTATATGTACATTATTTACATTATATTGTAATCATGGACCGTTCAGGCTTTTATTAGTTGTGATGTAAAGTTATAGGCTAAAAGAATTTTATAAAGGAAAAGTGAAGATCCATTTTCACGTCTGTTAGGCACATCGGGCATATTGGAAGAGCACGTATATATTTTTATAGACCATTCAGCACTAGGTGGATATTGTGGTCAGTATTGCGCCGGTCGTCTTTACTTTCCCATGACATACATCCTGGTACCCATTTTAGGCTGATTTGACATGCGAGGCCTCATACCACGATACAAATCCACGCAGCCAGCAGTGTGTTTTGATCGCGGTATGTTGGAATTACGAGTCTGGCTCGCTACGCCTAAGCCGCGGACGCCGCCAAATTTAATCAAGAGAATTATTTAATGACATGTCCATTGAACTTGATGATGAAATGCTTGTATCCTTTAAGTGCTATTAATATTGCTTGCATTTATAACTAACGTTTATTGTATGGAAAAGATATTTTATGTACACATACACATAAACACACACACAATTTGTGTTGTTTCTAACGGAACAGAACATGTTTTGCGTAACCACGTCGTTTCTCTCTCTCTCTCTCTCTCTCTCTCTCTCTCTCTCTC